CACCGTAGGACATCCTTGTATAAAGGCGTCAAACCAAGGCCGAGCCTCCAACGAAGATGGCAAAGAGCAGCTGAAGGTTGGCGATGGCTGGTGAGCTGCAAAAAGACACGAGGGCTTGTAGCTAAGATGGGTTCAGGGGTTCGGGGTTTGAGGTTACAAGGGCTTGTGGTTCAGAGGGCTTGCAACTTCTTCGGTTGAGAGGCTTCAGGGTTTCGGCGTCTAGGGCTAAATAAAGGTCATGCGGGCTTGGGTCACGCGTGCTTCATATTTTGTTGGAGTTTCCTTGTTTATAGGGATTTTATAAGGGTTCTATAGGTTTTTTTGATACACACATGAAACCGTGATTCCATAAGGAACAAGATCGTGCAAGTTCTGGGATGAGTCTGTGGAAGCTCTACCGGCCTTGTAACGCGAAGGCGATTCCCAGGCACGAGATCCAGAGTTTACGTTTGAGCACCTGCAGGGTCAGGGGTTCAGGGTTTAGGGTTTAGGGTTTAGGGTTTAGGGACTTATAAGTGCGCTGTAAGTCCCCAATATGAGTTATTACTATAGTTACCTACTTATAATCTCACTTATAACTACTCATGAACCTCCAAGCAAGCCCTCAACCCTAAACCCTATTTGGGAAATTAGGACTGGGACAGCAGCGCTTGGGGTTCGCCTCACAGCAACCTCCGCCCAAGGTGTCAGCGGAGCCGATGCCTCTGAGCTGAACTGCGGCTTAGTGAACTTTCGATGCCACGGCAGGGCTACGTAGAACATGAGGGCATGATATGACTGATGCGGGTGTTCTTTGCCATGAATTTGTTCAGGCTGTAGGTGGGTCACAAGCTCTCGACCCATAGACGCTCTTAAGGAAGTTCTGTAAGAATGTTAGGTCTGAGATTTTCTGTGTCAGGGCGAGTTTTGGTAATTGATCTTGAACGCGAGGAGCAATCAAAGTCTCAGATGTGCCCGGAAGGGAAGGATTTCTTCCCCAACAGAAGACAGACAAGGGATAGACCGTGCTGCCGTGTTGCTGCCCTGGTTGCGTGGGGCAGAAGGCGTCATGATATTTAGACCCCACTGTCGCGGGAAAGCCCACAGCTCCTGCAGGCATTAAGCTGAAGAGTCCTAAAGTCTACTAGAACCCCTCTAAACCTTCGGAGAGCCCTTTTAAACCCCGTATTGAGGCCCCAATGGAACACCAAAAACCACTGAATCCTTATCGAAGCCCTAAAAAAACCTGGAAAGTGCCGGCACCTTGCAATTGCTCCTTGCGGTTTCTCGTGAAGCCCGGGATGCCCCAAGCTTTTCCGCTGGCGTGTTGCCAGCTATCCCGCCACAAAAAAAGCGCTGCTACATTCAGGTTCCTTTGATGGGGTTAGTTTAGGGGTTTTACATGCGTTATAGGGTCCACTCAATGGTTTTTGTATTTTTCAGAGGGTTCTTTTCAGGGGCTTAGGTCAGCCGCCACAATTAAAAAATGAGGGTTTCGGGTGCTTAGAGGTCTTCCGGACAAATGGTTCCTCAGTGGGAAAACGCAAAAAAACACGAGCCTCAAGGAGCTGTGGATGTGTTGAACCCGAGATTTCAAACCCAAAGCCATGGCTTATTATACACTGCTTGAAGGTTCATGGGCAGTTACAAGAAGTAGGGTAACTATACTGTCAACCCATATTAGGGGATTTATAGCCCACCCATGAACCTCCAAGTAGACTTAAAAACCGAATCCTAAACCGAGACCGGGAGGCTCCCAGCCGTAGAGCGGAAACAAGTCCAAGTAAAACCATCCTAAAGCTCCAAAGCCCTAAATCCTAACTCCTAAGACCCCGCGGCTCCATTTCTCACAGCTGTCTGAGCAAGAAGAACACGATAGTTGGCCAACGCTCAACGACTGTCGACAGTTACGGAGGCATTTTATAATACAAGTGCTCTGTTTGCATTCTGACACTTCCGAAGGCTCAGCATTCAGGAACCCAAACCCCGAGCCCGAAACCCCAAACCCCCAAACCCCTAAAATCTAAAGCCAAAGCCCTAAACTCTAAACCCTAAATCCCTGAAGCCCTAAACCCTAAACCCTAAACCACAAACCCTAAACCCTAAACTGTAACCCAAGACCCCAACCCCCAACCGACCCGAAAGCCTAAACTCCAAAAAGGATTCGAAGCAAGCTCCAGGGCTTCGGGTTTGCTGTAAACTGGGGGCTTAGGTTGTACATTCTGGGTTTTACGGGTTTAGGGTTTAGAGGTTAGGGTGTTTAGGATTAAGATTTAGGGGTTTAGGGTGTAGGGTTTAGGGCCAGGTTCCCATCCGATGTGGGTACTTGTCAAAATTATGGTCCCTTTTGGGGTACCCTAAATACTAGGTGCCGTATTATAATATGGACCCCAAAAGGGACCTTAATTTTGACAACCACCCATGTTGGGACGAAAACCGCATTTGCTTTCAAAGCTGCGCCTAGAACCCGACCTCCGAATTCCTTGGTGGCCGTGACTGCCCTGCGGAAAGTCAGACTGGAAACCATGAGCCCGAATGCCTAACGCAACCTCGTCGCCGGCATTCTTATCATCCCTCTAATATAGGAGCCTAAGTAATTACCAATACTACTGTAGGGGTTTCTTATTAGAAATAGAGTATACTGGCCAAAACTGTTAAGGCCCCTGCATTAGTCCAACACCCCGGATTCCTCAACCCTAAACCTTGGAGCCCTAAGCCCTGAACCTCGCCCAGGCATGTCCGAGAGTGAGTGCTGAAACCCGAAATCCTGGAGCCCTAAACGGGGAATTCGCAATACGGATCTTAGTTTGAGGCCTTGTTTATTCGCTGCGGTTCCTCCTAAACCCTGCGAGATGAGAATGTCAACACCACTGAAACCCTAAACCCTAAACCCTGAACCCTAAACCCTTAACTCTAAACCCTAAACCCTGAACCCCGAACCCTAAGCCCCGAACTCTTAAACGAAGCTTCCTATGCATCCTCGCGGCTTTCCATTGAGGCCTGGCCAGCCAGTTCCTCAGTGTGCAGGGTTACTTGGAGGTTCATGGCTGGTCGTAAGTGGGGTTATAGGGTTCTTTTAAGGGTTCGATAGGGTTTAGGGTTTAAGGTCTAGGCTAGTTATAAGTGGGGTTATATAGTCTCCTAATATGGGTTATAATCATAGATACCCTACTTCTTACCTCTCTCACAGCTGCCCATGAACCTCCAAGTAGGGTTTGGGGCCGGAGCTTTTAGCGTTTTGCCAGCGTTTTCATGAGTGTTCCAGAGCTTGATCCGGTGTTCTTTTGGTTTCAACGCAGACCCCTGGTGAGTAGTCCCTCATTTTATTACTCATCAGATCGTTGTTGTCAACCTGCTTCCGGGGATCCGAATCAATGGCCTGCAATATGGGTTTGAGATTGGGAGTTTACGGGCGTAGGGAAGGGGTGGGTTTAGGGTTTGCGGGTTGTTCTCGATGATGGGCCACGGGTGTGTATATAATGCAAGACAAGACTTCTGGAAATAGTGCCACAATAGAAGCAGCATGGTTACTCGTATCATGATGGTCAGAACGTAAGCGAATTTAGATATTTATGTCGCCGCTTGTACGTGGAGTGGTTGAAGCTTATTTTGTGCTCTAATGCCTCCTCTGTACAGTGTCTTTTCTCTTCTGCTTATTCTCCTGCAAAACCTTGGTCTATTTTTGGGAGAGACACAACCCAAAACCACAAACCATCTCGAGCACCCTAAGCACTAAACTCTAAACCCTATAGGAGGGAAAAACATCCCCAAACCCTAAACCCTAAACCCGAGGATTCAGAAGATCAGCAGCAGCTGCTCAAGTGCACACACGGCATCCCCGGCTACCCACCGCCCCATGGAAGAATCCGGCCGCCGCAGCAATTTCGTAAACGAGCATGTGGTTCCTCCGAAGCTTAAACCCACCCAAACCTCAAGCCAGCCTCGCACCCCATCTTACACCCCAAAGCTCATTTGACTCTATGACAAGCACCCCAGAAGCCTAAGCCTAGGCAGCAAGAGCCACAAGCCTATCTACACTCTCAAGCCTCGAAGCCCAAATCCTGACGGCTTGTTCCTTTTCCCCAGCATCACCTCCAAGACAGCCTTACAAAGACAAGCGCCCAAGCAACTTCTAAACGCCCATGGCCATCATCGGCCCGGCACCGCTTCTCCGCCACGATGAGAGGGGCTGTCGGAGCCCTGGGCGCTTCTGACTTGGGGGTTTCAGCGGTTCAAGTGGATGTGGCTGTGGTGATGGTGGTTGATGGGGAAGGTGGCGGTTGAATTAGCCGTTGCGCTCGCAGCACCAGCATAAGTTGTGTTGCTTGTACTGGGGCTTGCTGCAGCAGCAGCGGCAACAGTCGCTGTAGCAGCCGAGCCGGTAGCAGAAGGGGGAAGCAGCGGAACCAGAAGCAGCAGGAGCAGTAGTTTGGCAGCGGCACTGGCAGTTGAAGTAGCAGTCAGTAGCAGTAGATGTCATATTTATCTCCAGTGTCGGCCGTCGTAGCTGAAAAAGTTTCATTTGGCCCCTTTTTTGGCGGGGAGTATTCTTAGTAAGCCTCAACCACTAAACCCCTAAAGCCCTAAACCCCAGAGCAAGCCAGCAGGACGACTTGGGATTCCCTGCCCGGGGTTGGAGGACGTCATCTTCGGGTTCCTTTTCTCCGTGCTTCCGAGATCTAAGAGAGCCCAATACCCCTTAATTATGGAGCATAGCTTAAGTCATAGCATGAAGCCCCTTATCATTCAAGGAATGTTCCTTAATTAATGGGTATTGGGCTCTTTGGGGTATAATCTTGGCTCAGAAGCTCTTCTTTGCACCTCAGTCTCAATCGTTGCTTGGGGCTGAGGCAAGGTCGGAGAGCAAGCCTTACCATAAACCCTAGTCCTTAACCCTTAAACCCTACTTCATGTAGCAGCAGTTGGAAAAGGGTCTCAAAGAGAAAACAAAACGGCCTTAAACCCTAAGCCCTAAACTCCCAAACTTTAGAGGCTCTATTGTATGGCAGACCTCGAGCCATATGCCTCGCTTGGAGTGTCCGAGTGTGAGCGAAACTCCTAAACCCGAAGCCGTGGAGCAGCGAGGTCTGGAACTGCAGGAAGAAGGCCTGACGGTGCTACGGCGAGCGCTTCGGAAGCATTTGTGGCCCCTCACGCCCTCACGAAGCTCTGAGCTCTAAGCTTCGAAGCCTAAATTCTCAACTCTCCCCGGCCTCGTGGGTAGTAAAGGCATCTGCGCAACCTAAACCTACAGACCCAATACCCCTTCCTAAACTCATCCTAAACCCTCCGCGCAAGACTGTATAAAGGTTCTTCTTGTCTTCATTACTCCTTTTCATGTCGTGGAATGTCTTGGAAGACCCCTGAATGACCCTAGCACAGGTGGGCTCGCCCTTGCACGTGGCGTTCGCAATTGGGGGCTCGCGCTGCGGGAAGAGCACGGCTTGTGGCCGGGCCGGAAATTGGACATCTAATGGAGGGGTTTAGGGTTTAGGGTTTGGAGCACTTTTTCACCGAGGGAAGAGCCCAGTTCAGACTCCTCTAGGAGCCTGAAACTCCTGGCGCTCGTTGCAGGTAGGGCCCATAGCGACGTACCGTAGCGGCTTTAAAAGCTAGAATGTTTTGTTTTGGATGGGTTATGATATATTAGTATGCTACAGTAGGTTTTAGTATATTCTAGTATATTGTGACATATCACATCACATTTAGAGCGTATCCGTATAGGGACTGCAAGGGAATGTGGGAACAGAATATTTGGGTAGAATATAGTATGTTTAACATAAGGAGCCATGCGGAACAATGTCACCTACTTAGGAAAATGTCGGGGTCAAAAGCCGCAGAAATAGTCATCAGCTTGTCACAGCCGTACTCGTAACTGGCCATGAAGCCTCCAAAGCCGAACCAGAAACACCTTGACGGCTTAGCTTCTAATTACGAGTCGCACTAGCCATAGCACTCAAATCCCCTCAAACACCCCCAAACCCCTAAACCTGCAAATCTCGGACCATCTGATCTTCGCCTCAAAGTACTAGGCAATGCCCTGCTCTTGGGCGCTGATGCCGGCGACAGGACTTCCCCGAATGCTAGGGTGTAAAGGGTTTTGGGGTTTAGGGTTTTGGGGTCCCCCCCTAACAGCCTCGAGAGAAACGCCAGGTAAGGTCACATCCCCTTCCTGTCCGGAGGAGCTGCTTCGAAACCGGGAGCGCTTTTGACCCGGTCACCATCGGTGTAGATGCCGCGCCTCTCAAAGGAGTCGAAATTTCAGAGTTTCTGTATTTCCAGATAAGGCTACGAATCCTTAGCTCCGGTGTGATTTTGGCTCCTGGAAAGCTTTTGGTTTCAAACTGCTCTTCCGTCTCCTCGTGCTTTCTCCCCCGCCTCTCCTGGATTGTCCGAGTGTGAGCGCCGAAACCCCAAGCCCCCAAACCTAAACACCAAACCCTAAACCCTAAGCCTTAAACCCTACACCCAAGCTTTAAACCTTAAACCCTAAACCCCAAGCTTTAAACCCTATAAACCGCCTCACAGGCCCAGATCCCCTGAGGCACTGAGGCCTCAGCTTTGTCCAAACGAGGCATCAACGCCCGCTTGAACAGATTGCTGTTCGAAAAACATCGCCAGGGCCGCCTGGGTTGGGCTTAGGGTTTAGGGTTTTGGGTTTAGGGTTTAGGGGTTTAGGGTTTAGGGTTTAGCTGCAACCCATATTAGGGGACTTATAACCCTACTTATAACTACCCATGAACCTCCAAGTAGGACTAAGCTACGTGAACCACGCTGTATTTACACGAGTCGAAACCCAACACGACAAACCAGACGTGCTTGAAATACTGACATGGTCGTGGCTGGAGCCCCTCGATGTCGCTAGGGATGCCCAAATGGATTCACGGACACCTGCGTATATTTTAAAGTGCTCGAACTTGTGGATGTGGCCGCTCGGACGTCATTCTTTCGGATGAGCTCGTAGCACGAGAGGGCTGCTGAGTTTAGGGTGCCGGCTTTCGGGGATTGCTTAGTTTAGGTGTCGGTATAAAAATTATATAATGTGTCCAACTAAGCTTTAGAGCTAGGGTTCAGGGTTTAGGGTTTAGGGTTTAGAAATTCTGGTTCAGAGTTCAGGGGTTAGCTTTGATGGGTTACTTGTAAGTGGGAGCTAGGATTAGGGCCTGATTAGGGGGAATGTTGGGGATATAGACCCTCTCAATAAGGCCCCGTTTAAGAGAGCCAAAAGTAGGGTTCAGAAGGGGTACCCTTTAAGGGGTACCCCTAATAATACTACCTAGCAAGGAGCTTGCAGGGTCTCTGTGTTGGCTTGACGTGACTTCGCAGGAGGCCGTGAGTTGGTCGTGCTCCAAACCAGGGGCTGAGGTAAGCCGAGCCTCATCTCGAAAGCGATGAACCCTAAACTCCAAGCCGGGTTTAGGGTTTAGGGTTTAGGGTATACTCCCTAAATTCTAACCCCCAAAAACCGAAATCCCTGAGCGCCAATTAAACCCCAACTTCTCACCTCAACGGTTCCGGCCTGAGCACTGCACTACGTAGGCCCAATCAAAATCAGCAGACCGCTGTCGGCCGTGTGCCCGAAAGTAAGCCTCCAAAACCCCCAAACCCTTGCCCCAAGCCCTCAACCAACGGCCTTAACATTTAGAATAGAAGATTGGGGTATATTATCTAGTCCACTTGTTGAAAGTATAAGGACGCTTCAACAAGAAGATTACGAGTTCTTCTCAAGCCCTCTGTCCCCAGCGTGCGAACTCCGATGTCGGAAACACTCTGGGGAAGCGGCTTGCTTGCGGAGTGAAGCACAGCTCCGATGGCAATCTTTCGACAAAACTCGACAACTTGACGAGACGCCCGAAGAGAACTTTCGCTTCGAGCTTCGGTGGCGGCGGAAGGTGTGAGCCACTTGTATGGAGGCGCGGGATGAGAGTTTGGAGTGGATGCGAATCATGTGAGTTTGGAGTTCGGCTAGAAATCATTGGGGATGTGCAGAGGCGTCGAGGATTCAACGCCGCGCATCAAGTTCCTGCATGTTTGAAGATGAGCTCCCGATGTGATGAAACCTTAACCCTAAACTCCCAAACTCCCAAACCCTAAACCCCAAAGCCTAAACTTCCGAGAGCGCCGCTGACCATTTTGCATGGGCGCTCGAGGCTCCGACCACGACCCCCGGCCGCAACTGTGACGGGGGATCACACACTAAAGACCGTTGCGGACCACAGCGTTTTGTCGGGTCTGGCTGGGTACCACCATAAAATTCTGGGGCGAAAAGTTCCAAAAAAAAACTATCGCCCCTCTTGTCTATTGATAGGCCGGCCCAAACCTGCCGGCGCAGAGGGCGCGAGGTACAGATGGTTTGTTCGAGCGGCCGGCACAAGCAGCGAGGACCCACAACCCGACACGGATCCATCCCAGCTGCGGTTTGCTGTGAAATGTGGTCCTTTTTATGTAGAACCGCGGAGGGAAGCAGAGAGCAAGAACTTCCCCCCTTGAGGGGGAGCCCTAAACCCTAATTGAGAATAGTTGGGGTGGTTGGGGCGGGACTACATGCTGACGTAAGCGCGCGATAAGTGCGTCCGCCCCTATTCCAAAAGTAAAAGGCGCACCCACCACGCGCACATCGCATACTGCATACACACCATAAAACCCCAAACCCTAAACCCTGCACCCCCTAAACCCACAACTTTGCCCTAAACCCTAAACCCTTAAACCACTCTCATCTTGAGGAGCTTTCAATCTTCTGCCATCTGTGCCCCCAAACCTCGCAATCGCTGGTTCCGCAGTCTTCCACAGACAAGACTGCAGGGCTTAACTAGGGTTCAAGGCTGAAAGGGCTTAGGATTTAGGGTTTACAAAAGGCGTGGGGCCTTAGGGGCTTTGGGCCTAGAGCTTTGGGGTTTGGGGTTTAGGTTTTAGGGTTTATTAGGGTTCGGGTTTCAGGTTCTAGGGTTTAGGTTTTGGAGTTTTGGGGTAGGGTTAAGGGTTTATAAGGCTTTGGGTTCACGACCTAGCGTTTAGGGCTTAGGGCTTAGGGTTCAGGGTTCAGGTTTAGGGCCCTGGGTCCCAAATTAGGGAATATACCTTAAACCATAGTAGTAAGGCCCCTATGATTTGAGGTATGTATTCCCTTATTAAGGCGTACTGGGCTCGCTGGGCATTTAGGCCGCCATCTTGTGCGTGGCATGTTTTGTTCTGATTCTATCTTCCATAGTACTTCCATTACACAAAGTAAAGAGCATCATGGTGTTCAGGGACTGTGGGGTCTAGGTTCAGGGTAAACCCTAAACCCTAAACCCTGTTGGGGTTGTAGTGAGTTTTGTGGTTGGGATGGTTTGGGGTTCAGGGGTTGGGGTTCGCGCACAAGCAGGCTTTTTCCAGTTCGAGGGTGACACCGCCACGGCAATTCGTCAAGCAACACGCCGCCTGCCAGGGAAACAAGGCCAAAGCACTGCCGCCTACAGTCCCATTTTCACGAAGCTTAGGGGTTTCCTGGAGGATTAAGATCCAACTTTAGCATTTTATGGGTTCCTACGACGGCTGTGCACCTATAGAACAACCCGTATAAGTTTTGAATAAAGCCAGAATAAAGCCACAGAAGACTACACAGAACCCAATGCCCGATCAAACCGATTATCCCAATCCCCCCCAGCAAGATTCACCACTGAGCCTGCAAACCCTAACCCTACAACCCTGAACCCTAAACCCCCAAACCCAGACCCCGAGACCCCTTTGAACCACAACCCAAACCACAAAGCCTGTCCATCGTGCTTACCGAACCCTTGCAGCGAAAATCCTGCTTCTAGAAGCCACCCCTTTACGGTTTAGGGCTTAGGGTTTAGGTACTACACCCTGAACCCCAAACCCCCAAACCCCCTAAACCCCCTAAACCCCTCAACCCCTAAACCCCCCTAAACCCCCCTAAACCCACCCTAAACCCCCCAACCCCCCCCAACCCCCCCCAAACCCCCCTAAACCCCCTAACCCCCCCCCAAAAAAAAAACCCAAAACCCTCTACTAAACCCCTCTAAACCCCCCCAAACCCCCTAAACCAGAAGACGCCTCTTCGGCGACGGCCCGTTCAGCGCCTCAGGCGCCACAGGCCCTGGTCACCAGAGGAATCAAAGACGGGTTTAGGGTTTAGGGTTTATGGGTTTAGGGTTTAGGGTTTAGGGTTTAGGGTTTAGGTGTATTAGTATTAGATTTGTGCTCGCGTGTTTGTCTATCTACTTACTTGACTGTTTATGCACTTGATGTACGTGTGTGTATATATACATATGTGTACATGCACGGTATAGAGTTTTGGGTAATTATTACAACATTGAAGTTTAGGATTGGGTGTTTTCTTGTCCGAGGACTCTGCTGTCAGATGTTGTGCTTGCTGGCTGGGGTCGGAGGCTGTCCGGCTTAGGATCATGTGGGCGAGTCTTCTCGGCGAAATGCAGGATGGCTCCAGCCTCGAACGCGGGAGGACTTACCCGGGTCCTGCACGCAGGCCTTTCAAGTAGAATGTCCACGGTAGCCGGTAGCAGAAACACTTGAATAGTTCGTTGATCCCCTTATCGTTTCAACTTTAACTATATGCCTATATGCTGAAGTATAGTATGCCATCTGTAGCTATCTGTGTGCTGCTACTATAAGTTAGCCCACAATCGTGCCCGCGGCAGTGTGGCCTCGTTGTCTCTTCAACCGCCTCCACCTGGCACAGAAGAGATCCCGGGCTAAACAGGGGTCGAAAATCGTACAAATTCACGTTTCGTGTTTTGGTATTTCGGGTTTAAGGTTTCGGGATTTAGTGTGTCACCGTATATTTATTCTATGTAGCTCATATACTTCAACTTCCTAGTTGCCACCACCACCATCATCACTGTGACTGCCACGGCGGCTACTACTACGACTGGCTTCTATGACTTTCGGTTCTATGGCCTAACTTAACATGAGTTTGGGATTCCCTAAACCTTCAAATCCTAACGCGCAAAACCGTAAGCCCTAAAAACCCAAAACCCTAGACTCCCTAGACCCTAAGCCCTAAACCCTATAAGTCCCTAAACCTTAAACCCCTTGTGGGAACTCCCCAGCTAGCAATCCACCAAACATTCCGAAGAAGCAACAGCCAATAGACCGTGACATGCGACAATACCTCATAGGCATAGAAATGATAAGAACCAGTGATGACAATGGTACCGATGATAACGGCAACAATAGTGATAATCATGACGAGAAAAATGAAAATGATAATC